TGTGAAGATTTGATCGATGCAACCGCGACCTGGGCGAAACCCAGCTTGTTCTTCTCGTTGCAACGATTCGCGTGTTGAAGATAGCCTGCGAAGTATGATGGACACCAGCAGCTTGCAAACGACGGGGACTAAACTTTTGCCTCTGTAGTTGGAGCAGATTGTGCGCAGGCCCTTTCTGAAGATGGGGACGACTATCGATTCACCCCAAGATGATGGAACTTTCTCTTCCGACCAAATTTTCGAGAACAAAGCGGTGAGTTCTTGGACCAGCGATGCGCCACCATCTTTACATAGAGCTGGGTGAAGGCCGTCAGGGCCGGGGCTTTATAACGCTTCATGTGCCGGAGCTCCTGCTCGATTTCCGGTTTGCGATGGAAATGGAGAAGGAAAACCGATTGCCTTTCCTGGATGTATTAGCAGCCAGAACCATGGAAGGGAGGCTGCAAACATCAGTTTACAGAAAATGGACACATACGGACCAAATTCTGAACTTTAACAGTAACCACCCGAAATGCCACAAAGTAAGCTGTGTGCGGACACTATTTGGTAGAGTGCAAACACACTGCAGTACCGCGGAGGCAAAGCAACAAGAAGAGAAGCATCTATTTAAATGTTTCCAACTCAACGGATACCCGCGAAGCTTCATCCGAAGGTGTCTGAACCACAACAAACCAAACAGACAGTCTACACCAACGACGGATAGACGCGTTGTCTTACTTTATGCGAAGAATATATCCGAAATGACAGCAAGACTATTCAAACATCACCTCATCGTAGCACCCAAACCAACTGCTACATTGAGGAAAACTCTGACGAAACCGAAAGAGAAACTGGAAGCTCATGAGCAAAGTAATGTTGTATATAGACTAAGTTGTAGAAATTGCGAAAAGGACTATGTTGGCCAAACAGGTAGAAAATTATCAACACGATTACAAGAGCACAAAAGAGCATGCAAAAGACACTATGCATCATCGCTAGTCTCAGCACACGTGGATGAAAAAGAACACAACTTTGATTGGGCCAAAACAGAAGTCCTGGCACGATGTGAAACAAGAAGAGCATGGGAGTTCCTGGAAGCGTGGTTCTCAACAAAAGACTCGATCAACATGCATATCGAGATTGACCCAGTTTACCAACCCCTCCGACGTAGAGAACTTAGAGAAATTATGAGACGCCGCTTGAATAGGAACAACCCGAGCGACGACCTCCGCCACGGAAAAATGGGTAGAGATCACGGGACACAGATCGAAGCCGTCACTTTCGAAAAGTCACCTGCACGCCGATCACGGACCGACAATTCAATCAGCGAGATTAAACTCCACATCTCGACGCACTGATGATGCCGCCTCGCATGGAGGTGAAACGTTTGCAAACAAATTTCCCTGCTCGGCGGACAAATGAGCAGCTAAGCCATGCGGCTCTCCTTGTTGTGTATTAGCGCACCCGCGCTCTCTCTGATTGTCTCACTGACGCCTGATTTTTTGGGACCAGTGGTGCGGATTAGCTGGAAGAGCTTGCGGTAATTGCCTACTGCTTCTGCCTTCGCCATTTCTTGAGCACTGCTGGTCCACCAAGCTTCCTTGTCAGCACTTGGGCTCTGCTTTATTTCACCCCTACTTGCCTGTCTGGTCACATTGTGTTCAGAGCCAGTTGGGTGGTCTTTTCTAGATTCAGACAGGTTCACCGACCTCTCGCATATCCAGTGACTGGTGCCATGCCGATGGATAGTGCCACAAGCAGATGCTCTTGCCGCGTGCATGGCGGCGGAGACCCTATTGCAATGAAGCTCAGTGTCATTAGGACAAGTCAGCGGAAGTTCGGTATACAGTGCTTTTTGATATGCTTGCCTGACCGAGGACTGAGACAATTTCTCCGTTGCCAATCATAGGGGACACTTGGTGCGCCTCCCGGAAAAGTTCATGGAGAAACGACAGCGTACCAAGGCATGATCAGAGTCGATACGGGTACTCCAGTACGATTGGCAATCCAGGATGGAACCACGCTATCTGGAACTTATGACTATGTGGTCAATTTGGGCCCATCGCTGGCCAGCTACTGGAGGGCGCCAAGTGGCACTTCGGCGGGCACTGTGTCTAAAAGTAGTGCTACTAAGAAATAACTGGTGCTCCGCACACAGTTGCAGCAGGCGCTCACCGTTGTCAGTCGGTTCGGAGTTAAGTCCATAATTACACCTAGCTGAGCTTCTGAAGAGCTCAGACATCCTACTTGTGCGTTCATATTCCCTGCAAGTACTATAATATCTGGACTAGTAGCACTGTGTAGTAGCGCGTTCAGTTCGTGATTGAATGTGTCGTTGACAGCATTAGAACTGCAGTCGGTGGGAGCATAAGCGGAGAGCACAAATAAGCAGCGTTTTGTATTACTTCGTGAATGCATCTTAGCTGATGTTGTCAAACGGGCTACACATAAACGGCTGTTCACCGGAATCCAATCAACCAACGATGACTCAGCCTTGGAGCTTAGAATGATACCTACAGCAGCTTGACCCGTGAGTGCTGCATCGGCGTCTCCGGATGCGTGCAACCAATAACGAGAGGATAAGCTGGGTGCAGTTAGTTCAATAACCCGTTGGGGTCACTAATCCTAGTTTCGGACACACAACACACCTCAATACCCAGTGTGTCCAAGGTGCGTGCGAGTGCAGCCTGATGACCTGTTTGCCTTAGAGCGCGAACGTTGAATGTCGCCATGGAAGCGGGATAGCGTGGTCTTATAAGGGACTTTTGCCGATAGGTGCGGTGGGATGGTGGCTGCAGATGGTTCTACTCCAGTGGCACTTCGGTTGCTGTCAATTGAGCTGGGAATTATAGAAGTGATGTTAATAATGGGGGTCGGGATGGGAGTAAGAGAAAAAGGTGGAAAAGCAAGAAGGGAGGCGCCCGCAGTAGCATGTTTTTGCTTATCCGCCCTGCTGTATGCAGTAGGTAAGGCGACCCTTGATAATCTGCGCGAGTGCCGATGCAGGACGAAGTTTGTTTGAAGAAAATGTCATGATTGTATGTGGGCTGAGATACTGCCAGGGCGCCCAGACCTAGACAGGAGGACGATTAGGGTCGTCATCCAAAGCCTTTGGCCCAAAAGCCTGCTCGCAAGGCAGCGGGGAGGTGGCAATGATTTAGTTTTACAGAACTAGACGCCATCCCATTTCAAACCCCCACCCCGGAGGACCAGGAGACTGAGTTTGTCTGACCTCTCACCATTGACCAAGCTGGTAGGAGTAGCTCTCAAGGTGCCCGGAGGCATCACCCAGTATAGCTCAATGGGTCAATGAGGTACGCAAACCGTCGCACCACGTTAAGGTCCAGTCTCGTTGCGACGGCTTGATGGTGATCAGCTAAAGGTCGTTCAGAAATTCAAGTACCTAGGCAACTATATTAGCGCCTGTGAGATTGGAGAAGGGGCTTACGAATTGTATGGTAAAAGCTCGAGGTGCTTTTGCCGATCTCCGGCACTTATGGTGCAAATGCGACATCACTCTTACCATGGAGTGCAGGGTTTATAATGCAGCCGTCCATTCAACCCTCTTATGCGGTTGTGAAACCTCGCCCATCAGTTCGACAGACATAACGCTGCTAGCCACATTCGATCATTGCTGGCTCCGCAGCTTAGCTCATGTCTGGTGAGGGCACCGCGTGAGCAATGCATGTGTTCGGCGTCACGTATTTGGTGCAGGAAGAGCTAGTGAACCGCTCAGCACCATTATATCACACACCAGTCTCCGATGGCTGGGCCACGTGTTGCGCTGGCCAACACACCGACTCGTGCGACGTGCATTGTTTGCGCGATCGGGATGTGGATGGAAGAAGATGTGGGGAGGCCAACAGGTGACTTGGTCGATAAGAATGAAGGCCCTCACTTCAAAGTTGACGAAAGCGATAGACTGTAGTTATTATTCTCACTAAGCGAGGTTAACCGAGCACAGTCAAAGGTAGTCTGGGACCTTCGAGCCCACCCACCACTGTCACTACCCTAGAAGCTATCGCCGTCACGTTGAAAGGTTATGCAGAATAGCGGGGCGTTGTTTGTTTTCTTTCTATTGGTGTTAGACATCGAGTCTGCCTTGAAGCTCTCACTTCTTCGCTAGTTAAAGAATGAGATTCTAAATTACTAAATCGTAATACCTTTCTCCCTGCAGGTTCTCTAGAATCGTAATCGTTTGGCTTATTCCGTCTCCCACAAATAAGGTACTGCGATATCCTTACCACAAGTTTATAAGCGATGGTTACTTACTTAAATATAAGGCATATTCCTGACGATCATCATCATCATTATACACGTCAGATAGAGGTGGGAAACACTTTAGCCCCTGTGCCGCAATACATAGAAGCAAAAAGAAGAAAAAATGCGACTGGTGCAAGCCACCTGAGCTACCGGTAATGGATGGGCATCGTTCCGATAAGCTACCAGCCAGCTACTGTGCATCCAAACAAAATTCCTATGACGTTACCTCTACCTTAAAGGAGAGCGAACTATAATGCTTCGAATTCTGCAGGTTGCATTCTAGTTAACCCGTGGTGCCATAATCACGTGTTTGCATTTCTTTCTGGTGTATAATATCTCCAAGAAATATAATGGGCAGTGGCTTCATTTAATGGTGAATTGCATCCGCCATATCGCAGTGTTGTTACGAGGACATCATGGTCTTTTATATTGAGTACCCTGCCTAACCGGAAACCCACCACCTCCAGGAACACTACCGCCGAGCCATTTGCTGCAACGGGAAATTCCAGAGTCACCCAGCTGGCACCCTTTTTTATGTGCCCTTGGTTTGAGTGAGCGCCGCACCACCGACCGAAGTTATTTGACTCTTCTCAATGCATAATTTCTGTCACTTGGGTTGCTTTCGTTTTTTTACAGTGCATTTGAGTATAATCACTAATGTCCAGATGCCAGTGCTAAGCGTTAGTGTATCTGTGCATTTATTATTGTTACCCGGGAACATGACTGAAACGATTTGTACATTCTTCTCCTCATTTCAGACTTACGTATGCCTTCCACAATACAAGTTGTCTCCGGTCCCCCTAAGCATATCATCTAGTGCGCTCCCATCATTCACCGTCCTTCCAACGGCCGATCCGAGCAGTTCTTCTGCTGACTGGTTTGACAGTCCATCCAAACTGCTACAGCCGAACGATCTTTCCCTCTCCACTGACATCTTGGCCACACGCTCTCCTTCCACTGGACCTGTTGTGTGGATGCCCCGTTGGGAACACGTACCACCGGGCTTGGTTAGCCTATTTCTTACTAACCTTGGAAGCCACGCTCCTTCTTATTTATATGCTTTGGGGCATGAGTTATTTCACCCGCTTGATATACAACTAGCGGCATCGACAGATTGACATTCGTATCCAGCCGACTATCGCTATAGGTTTTTTCTTCTGCATAACCCATTTTTTCCACATCACCTTATTTTTTGCTGTCCTTTTGGTTCGTGGTTATGAGAGTGTAACATCTTTCTAAGTACATTATCTGGTGTCCTCTCTACAACCCCTTTCGTTAAGCTTGTTTTAACCTAACTCCTCGTCTAGAATACACATGTTATGTGCCGTAATACTGCAAACTAATCCTCGCCGTGTTCGTCAGCTAGGTCAGCACCACAACTTGCAAACTCGGCAGTTCGATAAACGATATAAGAGCATTCAAAGCATATCGGTTTTAGTGATTCGCCAACCAACAGTACTTTTCCACTGCATACCAGCCCCACCAAGACTTGTACTCTCCTTTTATAAGATGCTCGACGAGATAACAACAATATGCATCACATCGTCTGGGAGGGGCCGAATGCTTTCCCACTGACGCCTTCACCTCACAACCACAAGGAGAAGTCCAAAGACGAGCCGGAAGAAGACTTGTATACATGGAATCACATTTGCTTATATAGTTTTGAAGGCAGAATGAAGGGAACTACTAAATTGCGCTTGAGCCAACCAACAGAAGGAAAACGTCAAATGCGACGGCGAATAAGCAACCGTGTGATAAAGAGCGAATCGCGTATGTCCTTAAAAATGGCATTATGGGAACCCAAGCGTAAAGCGAATATCCATTTACAGTGACGGGCACTGGCCAATCAGAATGACGAAATGCAGCGTTTGAACCAATGTCACGAACCAAACGAGAATAAGAAGTGCAGACCCATAAAGCGAAACTAGTACAATGATTGGGTTGCAACTAAATATTCCTTTAACATAACCAAGTAGAAAAGTGATGCTGAGAAAAACCAATAGCATGTGTTCTTGCAAATGGCACTACTGGGGATGAAACGGAGATAAGCGTTCATTAACAATGAGATGTGTGTACCAATCGGGCTAACACAGTGGATGGTTTAAACAATAGTCACGAAGTGGAAAATAGGACGAATACGGAATGGCTATTAAGCTCGTTCACAAAACATGAATGACAAATAGCTATTCTCCTAACACCTCATAAAAAACGAGTTACCTGGAGGTTACCTAGCTTTTCCGACGGGGATAGGGTCCACTTGCATCCGCGACCATGGCGGTTTGGGCTCCGGCCAAGATAGCAGTGTCGTCTGTACAGGTGAGTTGTAACCACACGAGCATTTAGAACAGGTACGGGCACTATTGCTTACAATGACAATTGTTTCAGAAGACACATGACTCAGCGACTCTTTGGGTTAATGTGACTTCGCAATCCAATCGTTTCCGGGCCGATTATTATCCGTACAAAAGGCTTTGTAAATAGTTCCATAGAATTGCAGATCCTTGATTCTGTGTTCACAGATCATTCTTTCATTCAGCTGCAACGTTCTCCTGAAACATTTTGAACCATTAGAATCATAGTTTCACTAATGCTGTACCGACTTGGCTTGGTCAGTCGACAAATTGTCCTGATTGTATGCACTGTTTCTGGTTACAACGGCACCGGAACATTGCTGCGTTTCGCTGCAGGAGGTTTTCCCTTCAAAAATCTGTGCGAAGTGCTGCAGACATCGCGTTCCTTTCTACGCCGCGAAACCTTGTCATTTTGCATTTGGAGCTTGTTTGCAACTTTGTGGTAGGCAAGCGACAGAATGTGTTCGACTCTTGACAATGATGATTTTTGAACACCAGAACTCTCGCAGAATGCCACACCGCACCGCTCCATAATGCAGTTGGTGGCTTCCGGTTCGGCACATCTCCATTCAGCTTTTGGTCACAAATGACTGTATCACCAGACTGGGGTTCTTCTCTGAGATCTGAAGCTTCCATCATTTCTTGGTCAGGATTCAAACTGAGCATCTTGTGGCATTCAAGTACAATTTCCTGGGATGTCAACCTCGGTTCCGGTTCCCAATCTACTTGCATGTTCAACTTCTGAGATAGCAACTCGGTCAACTGTCTCTGAGATTTTTCAAACTGCATTTGTTGCTGTTGAAGGAGCGTTTGCATTTCTTCGAACGAAGTTGACATGTTTTCCGGAACCTTCGTCGCCAGAAAATCTGTTGTGTCGCCATTGACGCCTTTACCCCACAACCGCAAGAGGAAGTCCAAAGACGAGTCGGAAGGAGACTTGTATACATGGAATCACATTTGCTTATATAGTTTTGAAGGCAGAATGAAGGGAACTACTAAATTGCGCTTGAGCCAACCAACAGAAGGAAAACGTCAAATGCGACGGCGAATAAGCAACCGTGTGATAAAGAGCGAATCGCGTATGTCCTTAAAAATGGCATTATGGGAACCCAAGCGTAAAGCGAATATCCATTTACAGTGACGGGCACTGGCCAATCAGAATGACGAAATGCAGCGTTTGAACCAATGTCACGAACCAAACGAGAATAAGAAGTGCAGACCCATAAAGCGAAACTAGTACAATGATTGGGTTGCAACTAAATATTCCTTTAACATAACCAAGTAGAAAAGTGATGCTGAGAAAAACCAATAGCATGTGTTCTTGCAAATGGCACTACTGGGGATGAAACGGAGATAAGCGTTCATTAACAATGAGATGTGTGTACCAATCGGGCTAACACAGTGGATGGTTTAAACAATAGTCACGAAGTGGAAAATAGGACGAATACGGAATGGCTATTAAGCTCGTTCACAAAACATGAATGACAAATAGCTATTCTCCTAACACCTCATAAAAAACGAGTTACCTGGAGGTTACCTAGCTTTTCCGACGGGGATAGGGTCCACTTGCATCCGCGACCATGGCGGTTTGGGCTCCGTCCAAGATAGCAGTGTCGTCTGTACAGGTGAGTTGTAACCACACGAGCATTTAGAACAGGTACGGGCACTATTGCTTACAATGACAATTGTTTCAGAAGACACATGACTCAGCGACTCTTTGGGTTAATGTGACTTCGCAATCCAATCGTTTCCGGGCCGATTATTATCCGTACAAAAGGCTTTGTAAATAGTTCCATAGAATTGCAGATCCTTGATTCTGTGTTCACAGATCATTCTTTCATTCAGCTGCAACGTTCTCCTGAAACATTTTGAACCATTAGAATCATAGTTTCACTAATGCTGTACCGACTTGGCTTGGTCAGTCGACAAATTGTCCTGATTGTATGCACTGTTCCTGGTTACAACGGCACCGGAACATTGCTGCGTTTCGCTGCAGGAGGTTTTCCCTTCAAAAATCTGTGCGAAGTGCTGCAGACATCGCGTTCCTTTCTACGCCGCGAAACCTTGTCATTTTGCATTTGGAGCTTGTTTGCAACTTTGTGGTAGGCAAGCGACAGAATGTGTTCGACTCTTGACAATGATGATTTTTGAACACCAGAACTCTCGCAGAATGCCACACCGCACCGCTCCATAATGCAGTTGGTGGCTTCCGGTTCGGCACATCTCCATTCAGCTTTTGGTCACAAATGACTGTATCACCAGACTGGGGTTCTTCTCTGAGATCTGAAGCTTCCATCATTTCTTGGTCAGGATTCAAACTGAGCATCTTGTGGCATTCAAGTACAATTTCCTGGGATGTCAACCTCGGTTCCGGTTCCCAATCTACTTGCATGTTCAACTTCTGAGATAGCAACTCGGTCAACTGTCTCTGAGATTTTTCAAACTGCATTTGTTGCTGTTGAAGGAGCGTTTGCATTTCTTCGAACGAAGTTGACATGTTTTCCGGAACCTTCGTCGCCAGAAAATCTGTTGTGTCGCCATTGACGCCTTTACCCCACAACCGCAAGAGGAAGTCCAAAGACGAGTCGGAAGGAGACTTGTATACATGGAATCACATTTGCTTATATAGTTTTGAAGGCAGAATGAAGGGAACTACTAAATTGCGCTTGAGCCAACCAACAGAAGGAAAACGTCAAATGCGACGGCGAATAAGCAACCGTGTGATAAAGAGCGAATCGCGTATGTCCTTAAAAATGGCATTATGGGAACCCAAGCGTAAAGCGAATATCCATTTACAGTGACGGGCACTGGCCAATCAGAATGACGAAATGCAGCGTTTGAACCAATGTCACGAACCAAACGAGAATAAGAAGTGCAGACCCATAAAGCGAAACTAGTACAATGATTGGGTTGCAACTAAATATTCCTTTAACATAACCAAGTAGAAAAGTGATGCTGAGAAAAACCAATAGCATGTGTTCTTGCAAATGGCACTACTGGGGATGAAACGGAGATAAGCGTTCATTAACAATGAGATGTGTGTACCAATCGGGCTAACACAGTGGATGGTTTAAACAATAGTCACGAAGTGGAAAATAGGACGAATACGGAATGGCTATTAAGCTCGTTCACAAAACATGAATGACAAATAGCTATTCTCCTAACACCTCATAAAAAACGAGTTACCTGGAGGTTACCTAGCTTTTCCGACGGGGATAGGGTCCACTTGCATCCGCGACCATGGCGGTTTGGGCTCCGTCCAAGATAGCAGTGTCGTCTGTACAGGTGAGTTGTAACCACACGAGCATTTAGAACAGGTACGGGCACTATTGCTTACAATGACAATTGTTTCAGAAGACACATGACTCAGCGACTCTTTGGGTTAATGTGACTTCGCAATCCAATCGTTTCCGGGCCGATTATTATCCGTACAAAAGGCTTTGTAAATAGTTCCATAGAATTGCAGATCCTTGATTCTGTGTTCACAGATCATTCTTTCATTCAGCTGCAACGTTCTCCTGAAACATTTTGAACCATTAGAATCATAGTTTCACTAATGCTGTACCGACTTGGCTTGGTCAGTCGACAAATTGTCCTGATTGTATGCACTGTTCCTGGTTACAACGGCACCGGAACATTGCTGCGTTTCGCTGCAGGAGGTTTTCCCTTCAAAAATCTGTGCGAAGTGCTGCAGACATCGCGTTCCTTTCTACGCCGCGAAACCTTGTCATTTTGCATTTGGAGCTTGTTTGCAACTTTGTGGTAGGCAAGCGACAGAATGTGTTCGACTCTTGACAATGATGATTTTTGAACACCAGAACTCTCGCAGAATGCCACACCGCACCGCTCCATAATGCAGTTGGTGGCTTCCGGTTCGGCACATCTCCATTCAGCTTTTGG